GACCAGAACTATGTGTTTAATGTATCAGGAACTCTAGAACTATTCTAAAAGAAGCCAGAACTCTCAATAGTTAATGAGTTTCCACGAGATGAGACGCTAGCTTCACATACACGTCACGTGAGGAATTAGAAATCCTAGTTTTAACGCGGATAAAATTGCGCGTATGTACATACTTAAATTTGAATGGAGGGCCTTCGAATACGCCGATAGTATTATCCTCGCTTCCAGTTATTAATCTAAACGGTCTAGCCGACCTAAAGTCGCACGAGTTGATAGATTTACTCTGACCAGAGATCTCGCCCACCGACGTCCCTGTTTCTGCCATAAAGACATGCCCGAATCTAAACAGAATCGTTAACAAGTTAATATCACGTCTCTAATTATTTTGATCCTTCTTTAGTGGCGTATCTTCTACGCATTCTAGTGAGCAAAGTATACCTTTCTCTTCCTTCTCCGACCACAACCATGCGCTGACTATCCGCTGACCAAGCGATGTCTTTGATGGGTCCGCCAATAGGTTGAAATTCATTTTTTAATATATGCTCCTTGTTAACTGTATCCCAAATACGCACTTTACCCGACTGATCTGAAATTAAATTACGCACCATTGGTCTCTTCGTATATCAAAATTAAGTATGGAAAAATCTTCAAGTAACTGAAAATCAAAATCGATGGAATAAGGTGTAGGAGACGCGACAGCGTGTTAGTGTCTAAATAATTTTAATTGTAAATTTATTGTGAAAAATATTACCCGAGTCAGGATTTTCTCGCAATAAATTTACAATGAAAATTAGACGCGGCTCTTAGTTTTGTGATTTCTTCAAATTTGTGCTTAAAACATCTGAACCTTAGGAATTTTATTAATTGAAAACCTCTGTAATATAATATCACAATATCACGTACCTCCCGAAGCTATGTAAAAACCGCTAGGAGAATATTTGGCAACGTTCACAGGGCAAGAATGTTCCGTATAAATGTCCGCGATTGCTGGATTCTGCAATGTTTAGAGACAAACTAGTACATCCCTGGACAATAAGTAAACATTTGTTGCAGCATGGAAACTCACGTCAATATTTCTAATGATAACACTGTTACCATTGGTGTATAAAAAGTTTTTTCCTTTAGGGTCGCCACCTAGTACAAGAGGTTGTCCCCTTTGGGTCCTCGGCAGTGTAGCAAATATATATTCTGTAATATAAAAAACCAAGAAACTATCAAGCAAAAGACAGTAGAAGACTATCTGGAAACATCTTCAAATAAATTAGATATTCGGGTAATACACGAAATAATCGGACAGTCAATGAACATTCTTCACAGAGTGAGTATTGATGTCTCATATTAACATTGTAATATTAAATAAAGAGAAAATTTTTAAGTTACAGATTCTCTAACAATCTCAACAGATAAAGCATATCACGTTACTGTTTCGTGCTCTATATTATTTACATATAAAGAATTGTAGATATATAAAAATGGTATATTATAGTACAATATATTATTCGCAATTAAATATATTAAGCCCGGTTTCACCAGCGTTATTTAACTTGAAACTTAGCGTAATTCGTTCTTCGTCTCTTTCCAGTTACTTTAGAAAGAGACAAGTGTGAATTAAACTAAGATTAAAGTTAAACGACGTCTGGTGAAACCGGGCCTTAAACAGTAAATGAGGACAAATGATCGAGTTTATCTGGAAAATATTGTCACACAGGCGCAGAAGAGATCGAGTATCGCGCAAACAACGCATAATACATCCAGGTGCTGGAACTAAAATACTCTTCCTTGATACATTGGCACGGGTCCAGCTCCTAATATTTCAAATTATTTTGAGCGCTAACAAGCTACAGTTTATTCCGCATCACGCTATAGTTCCGGGTGACGTTGTAAAGGAATTTTATAAGCGCGGCAGTAAGACAATTTGCAAAAGAAACGTTAATTTAAGTAACAATACCTTCATTTCAATACAATGCCCTTTTTTCATCTCCTCCTTTCTACAAACATTTCTCTTGATAAATGTAAGAGACAAAAGGTTCCTTATTGCTAGATACTTTTCGCACGTACATATTTTTATTTGATACATAATTACCACAAAATATACATGTGTTTTTACCATTTTCATATCTCACTTCGACCTGATAAGAGTACAATATCATGTAAATCTTATCTGAGGTCTAACTAAACTTTGATACTTGGTATTAATGAGTCATTTTTTTTACTTGTGCTATGCGTGTGCATGTACAGGGTGTATCGCAAGTTTTGACACCCCAGATAACAATTCTTGCGCGCAAATTCTGCTTGTCCGAAGCCTCGTGTCCATGATTCGAAAACTGCGTCCAAGTTCTAGTTCTCGAGAAACGTGCTCTCTAAAAATCGATCAGTAGATTTTCAGTGGAAATTAGCGACTGTTCACTGTTTTCAGTGATAATCCACCGATTGACTTTTAGAGAATGTAACCAATCAATTTGTAGCTTTTTCGTAAAAGATGCAAGTTGATAAGCTACACGTTTCTCGAAACTAGAACTTGGGCATGGTTCTCGGATCGTGGACGCTAGGCTTTGCATGCAAACTCGTATGACATCTGTCTGAGTTTTGCTCACAAGATACGTTTAATCTTTATGTGAAGAATTATTTGAGTACATGATTAACCAATGTAGAACATTACTAGACGACGCTTGGCTGGCAAATTCTAATTCAAGAAATTTATTGCGAAAAGCATTACCTCAGCTAGGATTTGAACGTCGCAACGATTACACGGTATAACAATGAACTTTCCACTAAACCGATTTCGCTCAGAGGGTAATAAATTGACGGTGAACTCAGCCGACGAATTGCCTATTAATTTAACAGAAACCCCCGCGATCCCACGTTAGGGTCCTATCTCATAATAGGAGACTCTCTGTATGTACAATGTTTTCTGGGACGATCTCAACTTTTCGCACAAGTTCAATTAGACCAACTCTCCCACGCATGAAAGTATCTTTGCAACGAAGACTCCAGCGTTGAAGATAAAGTAAAACCCATTCGGGATTGAGCGACAAACTTATCAATTCCTTCGCACCAAGCCACTGCGTTCACACTTTGATTCTGCGAAGGTGGAATCTCCCGATCTCGACATTCTCAACGGGACACCTGCTCCGAGGCGGCCGGAATGAATTCCTGGAGCGCCGGTAACTTTCGAACACCCTGTATACGTACACTGTCATCAACCGTGCGTCCGGCGTGTCGTGTCACACGCGGCACGCGAGTGACAAATGCCTCGGGCCCGGAAGAGCGCGAGATAAACGGGGCAAACAGGCGAGGGCGAGGCCCGCCGAAGTGCGCGAAGGAGATCTCTTCCTCCTTCCGTGGTCCCGGCGCGTCACGACGCCCCGCGATCTCCGGCCGGTGATAAGCAAACCGGGAGACCGCGAAGATGCCGCCTACGTAGCGAGCCGGTGCCGCGACGCGTTTTTTCTCCCCGCAGGCGCGACTTACTCGTTTCGTACGACATCTCGCCGGTGTGCACCCTGTGCCTCTGCGCGCCCAACGATATCTAAACGCAGCCGTGCGAGGGGATCCGGGTGTGCGACGCGAGGATGCGACGTCCACGGCAGGCCTACGTGTGATAGCGCCTCGCGACAGTCGCGACAGCAGTCACCTCCCTCACGCGCAAACAAACACGCGCGCGCACGCACCCACACTCGCGCGCGCGATACTTGTTCCACCCTTCGCCTTACTTGGCTGAAACATGAACGAGGGTGTCGCTAGACGCGTGCGCGTCGCCGACGAGGCCCGACCTTCGTGACCGATGCGCTCGCGAACAGCCCGTATATTGGCCGGAGCGAGGTGATTCAAGAGACTCAATCCCTTCCTCGAGCGTGAACTCGTGAAAGGTGAAAATTTTTACTCGCAAACGCGGCGTTCGTTGATGACATCTTTCGCTTTTCACGAGTTTACGCTGGAGAAGTTTCGTGATCGAGCTCGAGAGCAAAAGGTTCTACACCGTTCCGGCGGCTCTTCATTGGCAGCTCGATCCGCCATGTTTTCCAGATTAATCACGAGGGAAATTTGAATTGTTCACTTGAAGTGATTACTGTTACGGTAGGATTCCTCGGTTGGATCCCGGCCTGCACACTTTCCCGTTAAGGGACATGTCAAAAGTTCAGAACTTGAAGAAGTTTAAGCGCCTAGCGTTGGATTCAGTGTTTAATCACGATAGAGTACATGAATTTCAAGGAACTTCTAGAAATGTTAAGCTGATATAACTTAACAGTTGAGAGGGTAAACTTAAAAAAAGAGTTAAATTATTAACGATAAACGTAATGTAATTTAATTTTCCTGCAGCATAGAATGTTTCAGTTACATCGCAACGGTATGATAGTATGTTTATTATTTGCAATATTACGGTATATTGCATTCTCAAATATAATAGAACTTGTAACACGAATGTTCTTAAATTCTACACTCGCAAGAGACCTGCGATTTTCTTTGCACTTTCTCCCAGCAATATCGTCCTATGATTACCGGTCACCTCTTCTATTCTCACGGGTTCTGTGCAAATCTGAAAAATAATAAAAGGTAAAGTGTACATCTTGTTGAATATAAACGATTAAAACCCATATGAGTAGTAGGGAGTTAAAATATAATAGAATTAATCGCCTTTGAACAAAGTTCATATTTACTGACAATATAACATTTTTGAATCGAGTCTATGCGATGGATTTTTATTCTTAGAGGCGCATATGCACGTTGTAGATATTATATTGTACATATACCAAATTGTTCAATCATCGGACTTTAATTTTTGGAGGTAGCTATTGTCTTACAAGATGCTCGACGTATTTGATTAAAAGTATACCAAAGCATTACAGTGATTATTTAATTTCAAACTTATAATTTATAATACTGCAACCAGTGTTACAAATTACAAAAAGAAAAACAACATTGGGGCTATTGAAGAAGTTTAATAAAGCAGAGGGAACATAAAGAAGATAAATCTCTCACCCTTGATAAATCGTAATCTTTTTCTAAAGATACAAAGGTCTCTGTAGCTTTAATCAATGTGACCGGTCCTTTGATCTTTTTAGTCGGATTATAGCTTAGAGCAGCTGCTAGTTTTTTTAATAAAAGATGTCCAGCGATCTTTAGATCATTCTGTGTAAACGACGTGTCGCCTATCACTTCTATCATCTTGTCAAACATCTCCACATCTGATTTACTCTGTTTCAAAATATCGTACGCCTGAAATAAAACAGCGCAGATTGTAAAACAGTTATACATATACGAAGATAACGATTGCAAAAAATGAAGATGTGTAAAGATACGAGAATAATATTAATATACGACTATTAATTACAAGTCAGCTATTCTGCTAAGGCTCTTAAAACAGTACATTTAAAACTATCTTAAATTACATAAAAATAAATTATAATATGTCGGCTTTTGAATATAACGTGCTTTACACTTTAAACAGGTACCATATGTGCTTTGAATATGTTTCATTATTCGTGCTTTTCCTTATCTCTTTACTTTATGGTAAAACACGACAGATAGAATGGATCAGTTCCATGATACTTACTTGTATGAAACTGATGGTATTGTTAAATTGTATGCTGAAATATGCCAGTGTTTTCATACGCAAGTTGGAAATAATACCCTCTTCCAAGTTATCCAGTCTGCCGACCATTTTAATATGCTGTTGCGCGTATGCCGGTGAACCATCGATTAGACTCAGAACAACCTTCTCTCCAGCAGATTCCAATTGCAGAGTCATTTCGACGGCAACGCAAACTCCAAACGAGTATCCTGCCAAATGGTATGGTCCTTTTTTCTGAAGTTTTCGAACGGTATTGATATAGAATTCCGCTAACTCCGACAGCGTTTCATGAGGCGCCTGCTCAATGCTCTGCAGACCCCATAACGGCCTCTCAAGTTCACTGGCCACATGTTCTAGCGATTTAACGAGACCTTCAATACCATGGACGACGAACAACGGTGGTCCGTTGGAATTCTTTGTTTCTAAGCGAACGAGCACCTCTTTAGGCAGTACCTCGTTGCTCGGCCACTGCATCCGTAGCATGCCCGACGATACATTTGTGTCTACACTCGTGGCCGCGTTCACCGAGAAAGATTGCTGCTGTTTCATTATCGCACCACTGGTCGAAGATAATTCTTGCAGTTTGGCAAAAGTAATGGCACGAATATCACGGGCCGACAGCAGGATGTCAAAGCTCCTCTCGAGAGTCTGTTTGATTTCTGTACTCATCAGCGAGTCCATACCCAGGTCGGCCAAACTATCGTTGGGATTGATCGAATTAATATCTTTGATGCCTAGAATATTGGCAATTGTTGCGATGAAGTTGGACTTGCTGCTGTCATCGGATGCAGATTTATGTTTCTCAGCTAACACTGAGGAAACCAGCACCGGGTGCGGTTGTTGAAGGAATATATCCATCGTCGTGAGGCAACTTGACATGTCTTGTGGTGCAGTGCCGCGCACCACAGTGTCGTATCCCATCGTTTCTAAAGAAATGACAATATCGTAATAAAGAAAATGCGATTGCGAAATGTACAAAGTATTCAAACCGTAAATCTAGAAATAGTATGCAAATTGTGCGTACGTACATTTATTAATATTGTCTCATGTAATCGTGTTCAAAAGGGCACAAACTTAAAGGCATGAGTCAAGATTGAGTTTACAAACCAAAGAAAAAATAAGTAAAGATTTGGAAAAGTTCCGATCCGTTGATTCTGATCTAAAAACGTTACATGTATTACCAATTAGTACGCCAACATCGTTGATGGCACCCCATTGTATGGCGACACCGGGTAAACCATTTGCCTGCCTCTTCTCCATCAGTCTCTCTATGGTCGAATTCGCGAAACTGTAATTGGTTTGACCAATATTGCCGAGACCGGACACCTTGGACGAAAATACCACAAAGTAATCTAGCGCCGGGCAGAGTTTTCTTGACACTGCATCTAAACTCTTTGTTATATCGATTTTTGGCACAGTGACCGTTTTAAAATCGGCTTCCTTCAGATTTTCGATCAGGGCATCGTGCAGTACAGTCGCCAGATTGAATATACCGCCTACTGGAGCTAGACGATTGCTTTCCTGGATTAAGTGCTCGGCACCCAACAACGTCGTAGCATCCGACGTAGAGATCACGACTTTTGCGCCGCCCTCGCGCCAGCGACGCACACACAATGCTTGGTAACCGGTGCGAATACCTGTGCGCGATACGAGAATGATAAATTTGGCGCCGCGGGCGATCATCCAGTTGACTAATTCTAAACCGAATCCACCGAGACCGCCGACCAGGACGTACGATTTTTCCGGATTGAAATAAGTACGTGGGATAGCGGACACTGTCTTTAGCGCTGGCGATACACGCTTCTCTGGTTCCTCATCACGGATCTTCAGCAGCACTTTGCCGACGTGCTTGCCCGTCGCCATGAATCTGAATCCCTGCTCGAGCTGTTGCTCCGAAAACACGGTCGATTGGAGCGGACGTATCGCGCCATTTCTTATTCCCTCCGAAACGAGATTGACCAATTCCTTCTTTTCCGCGTTGTCTTCTCCGAATAACGCGTCCAACAGTATACCGTGGAAAGAGGTGTTCTTCAAAAACATTGACATTCCTATGCGGCTGTCGTTGGCCAAATTGTATTTGCCGATCTCAAGGAAGCGACCACCGAGCGCCAGGTACCGGATGCCAGCTTGCAGTTTCTCCTCTGCTAGTGAATTCAGCACAACGTCGACCCCACGCCCTTCAGTCTCGTCACGTATCAGTTGTTCGAAGCTCGTATCCCGGGAGTTACCGATGTGCCTGTCGTTCAACTGCGGGAAGAGTTCCTTGAGATACTTTCTCTTTTCCAGCGTGCCAACGGTGGTGAAGACGGTACAACCAGCGTGCAGCGCAATGGTGATCGCTGCTTGACCGACGTC